ATAGAATAGAATAGGAATAGGGATAGAATAGAATAGAATAGGACAGGACAGAAAAGAACAGAATAAAATAGGATAGAGTAGAATAGAATAGAATGGATGGGACTGATCTCAGGTGCCTGACTTCAGAAGGATTTATCATCTCCTAGTTTAGAGCATCTACCAAGTGCTTAAGCTGGAGCTCCATCCTCCAGACTCTCAGCAGTGGGGATAAAACCTTCTTCAAGATACAGTTCAAAGCAGGTTCTGAACCTGCTGGCTGTACTGAAGCAGTAGAAGAACCCTCTTGTTCTCCCTTTTCTGATCCCCACACTGAGGCAGGTACATCTCAAACAGGGGAACCAGCACCCAGATCCCAGCTGAGGGAGCTGCAGCTCTGGGCATGTAAAGCCATCACTGATTCTACCTGATATACAAGCTGCAATATCTGTTTATAGAAGGTGGGATGCCAAGGTAATTGTAGTTTGGCAGGTTTAAGCTCGATCCCATTCAGTGCTTGAGCTTGGGGATAGGACAGAAATCCTGGGGAATATCAGATCACTGGGAATTAAGAGCCAAATCACCCCTGATTGCAGTGGGAGCTGGGTTTCCTGGTGAGGTCTGAATCCTGAACTTCCATGCAGAGAAGATTTTCTGCTGTCCCTGTTGACTCACAGCTCACAACCATGTGATCCCAACCATCTGTTTGGTAAACTTTCTGATTTAAGCTTGAAATACTTGAACTCCTTCTGCCTTGTCCCTCTGGGAAAAGTAAAAAGTAGCTTTAGTGCTGCCCAGTTCCTTGTTTGTTTGCTCTCAGTGTGCCCCAGAAACTTGGGGTGGGAGGGGAGATCCCCCAGTTATCACCCCTGGAACCTCCAACCTGGCAAAGTCAGGCTGGTTTGGGGGGTACAAATGACCTATTCCAATCTCTAGGTTGTTATTTGTTCTTGAGGAGTGGAAACTATCAAGATCTTATGGAAATGTTGTGAAAGGTGCCTGGGAAGTGCCCCAATGGTCCGAGGTTGTTGGCACTGTGGTGTGAGATGTCTGTGGGAACACAACCTGCAGTGGGAGGCAGAATCTGTCTGCAGCTAAATATTAGCAAATAGTAACAAATATTAATATCTAAAGCTAAGTATTAGCAAATACTAGCAAAGATTAATATCAGACAGTACCCTGGAGAGAAGGTGAAGGAGACAGAGAGGACATGAGCTGTGATACTGCTGATCCCCTTCACCCTCAGTCTGGGCTCCTTTAAGATGCTGAGAGCCAGAAACAGATACTTCTTATATTGTTTGTTATTTTCAAGCGTCTTTTTTCTTTCACCAAAGTTCCCACTGGCCAAATTTTACTATCAAGGCCATCTTTGCACTCTGATAACCTCCAGACTCTGCCTTTAGACATTTTTGTGCAATCTCATCTCCTGATTTTCCTATTACTGGCAGGAGGGCAGGCACAAGCATTAAAATAAAACACTGGTGATGTGCAGCCAGAGTTAATCTTGATAGTGCAGAAGTGAAAAACAATGGAGATAAGCACCAAACCACTCACTCTTGTGACTCAGTTGAGCAACGGGGCTCGACTGCAGCGAGGGAGCAGCTCTGTGCTGGTTGGAGTTGCTCTTTTTCAGAGCTGATCACGTCACTGCACAGGGCTCAGCAACAAAGGGCTGCTGGAGGAAGGAAATGCTGAGCTCGTGCAGCCCCGGGTTCCTGAGGGTTTATCAAACCTGCAGCGAGATCCTGATATCTCTCAGGCCCCCCGTGTGTCTGCAGGGCTGCAGGAAGTGCCTGGGCCTGACCTTTATCCACAACCAGAAGATTCCTTGGCAGTGCTTGTTTTTGCAGCCTCCACCTCAGGAATGCTTTGGCTTTCCCTGGGGCTTGGGGAGAGGTGGGAAGCATGAGCAGGCAGCAGAATGGTCACACACAGGTGTTCCTGTCGGAGCCTGGAGCACCCAGGAGCCACCAGCCAGCGGTGGGAGCACGTCCTGGCACCGGGAT